AATGGAGGTACTGCTTTTCTTGGCCTTCCACGTCGTTTCTGTAGATTTTATAATTTATTTGGATCTTTTATAGTATAATAACCAAAATATACCGTTATACTAATATACTAATATCATGCTTACATACATATGTTTTCAAACTTGCTCTACACGAACACATCATTGGGATTGTAATGAGTTGTCCAGCTTTGATCCATTGAGAGAAGTTGTTCCATTGTGTCCATAGTAATGTAGAGCATCGAGTTCTACTATTAAATCTTTCTGTGAACAAACCGGGCGCATTTCTTTGTTCCGGGTACAAAAATGCAAAAACATTTTTATGTCTAGAGCGGGCACAAATATTTACTAATTCTTGACACAAAAAAATGTTCGTCGTATAGAACGGCAAGAATTAAATGTAAAAATTGCCTAGCGAAAAATTATTAAGCAAATTACTGCTGACCTTATAATTAAAATAAAAGATAAAGCGCTTTCGCCTGACACTATAACTGAATTATCAGTTACATTAGAACTGAAACAATATGATGAGAGTTTAAAGTATGTAATGTAAAGTTCAAATGTATTTTTAACTAATATCTTTGTATCCTATCTGTTCTAAAAATATGTGGAGCTGTGTTATGGAAACTAGATAATCTTTTGAATTATATGAAGCCAAGGTTTCCATCCGTTTCGATCATCTTGGAAGATGAAGTATGTATTGAGATCATGTTCTTATAGATTTGGATAGATGAACTTGCTATTATTATTCATTTTTAAAACTTATCATCTTTGTTTTAAAATACAAAAGAAAATTCATCATTGTTTTCTTTATTTTTGGGTGTTATAGTTATGCTTTCTATCTAGAACTTAATGAATGTGTAGAAGTCTGTCGTACAAAAAATTGATCGCTAGGAATGCAATCATGATTAATTTCGCATTAAGTGTATTTGAAACCTCAATCACTTTGTATCGCTTTTTACTCTCTGGTAACTACGTGATTCCAGTGCACCCGCGATGATATCGTCTAGAACGTCTTAAAAATTAAAAAAGATACATGGAGGACAAGTTAAGCTTGAAATTAAATAGGAGTTAGGACACACTTGACAAGTCATTGTGTTTTTCTAAGCTATTAAATAAAGTTTACGATTGATCTGCTCCCCATCGATCATAACAATAAAATAAATTTATACCATTCATAACACTAAAAGTGTAGTCATGTTCGGTAGTCTCAAATTATTTTTTTTCGAATGTGGGACAGAAAGTTCCGAATGGGGAATAAAATGGAGATGCTTATTTTAACGAAATAACGTCATGTCAATCTAAAATACCCGATGAGCTCAACTAAAGTCACATATTGCAAATAAATTAAAATTAATATTGTAAATTTTTTAACCATTTATCGTTCGAATTACATTGTTATGTCGTTTCTTCTTATAGTTCTAATTCAGAGTTCATTCCTTCAAGGCTAATTTTTCCAATTTCAAACAATAGATTTTTTCTTTCAATTGGGTTTTATCGACAAATTCATATCACACATCTGATAAACTCTGAGACGCGCACGACAGGAAGAGTGATGTTTCTGAGGCCGGCTCGAATCTCAGAATAACTCTATTTTGCTACAAACTATCCAGACACCTATATGATAATGATCTTTATGACAAAATATGCTAAGGAGGGCATAAATCTTTGCATATTATGTAATAACCCACCAATCTTTTCCTCTCAAATATGACACAGAAGTAGTATGACTTCAAAAAAATTGCCAGTGGGGGACAAAATGGTCGAATGGGAACTGTCCTCTCAATGGGCGGGGGAGTGTTTGAGAACACGGGTCATGTCATACTTTTATACAGGGAAAAAGTGTGACATTGTCCAAGTTTTACCCAACCAATAGAAAAGTGATGTCACACTGTAAGAGTTATTTTTGGTAGCCCGGGTATGATATTGTCACGATAAAAGTTGTCGATATTTTCTTTACGTAAGTGTATTGCGTTGCTAATAGCCTTGAAACCGCCCATGTATTCTGTGATTTTTCATATTACCGACAGAAAAATAAAGTTCATGCAGAGTCGGAGAGAATTTCGTATCCAGCACACTCTATAAGCCCGAAGAATTTCTATTTTGGCGAAACGTATTGTCAAAAGTTTAAAAAATATTTTGAAACTAATATTATTTTCCCATGGAAATATTTTTTCGCTATTTTGTTCGAAAAATTCCTCTAAACTTTTGATAGCACCTCTCGCCAAAACCAGAGCTGGGCAGCTCCGACCATTTCCGGCTCCGGCTCCAAAAGACGTTCATCTTTCCTTGTTTCTCTTTCGATTGAATTTTCTAGGGCTTTCAAGTAAGGAAAACTATGAAAATGAAAATCGTTTTGAAGTACAAATATACTCTATAACTGCATAATATATACATAAAAAATCGCTTCTTTCGAAAGCGTTACATTTAATAGAAGAAGGTCAAGACTGAGGCAGCATAAATTAACGTATCATCAGCGCACGCGCTCATATAACTATCTGCCATCAGAGTGTCATTTTTACCTCGATCGAACACGCACATCATCATCCGCACACCGGCTCTGGCTCTGAACTCAAAGCTTCTCGTCTAGCTCCGGCTCCGTTTATAAACGGAGACGGTTCCGGTGCCGGAGCTGCCCAGCTCTGATAAAACTAAAAAACACTTCTGAGCTATTGAGTGTACTGAATAGGAAAAAGCACTTTTCCGCGACTCTAAATGAACTTTATTTTTTTCTTCAGTGATATGAGACTAAGACTAATTTATTCACGAAATGTGAGAGTCATCAAAGGTCATCGACCTGTAATATCAATGACTCAAGCCAAATATATAAGAGAAAATAACGGCTAATAGACAAAATAAAATAGAGACTACTAAACAAACAAATAAACAAATAAAAAGAAAAACAACAAAAAAGAAGTAGAAATAGAATAACAAAATAAAATAAAATACCACCGTGAAGGTAACTATTAACTATTGACATGACTGCAATTTACAGTAAAGATACTGAGATAAGGCACATTTGAAAGAGACTAATGAAGCAAAATAGATAATTAATTCTGGAAGATTGTTCCACTCGGCGGTAGTAGAATGAAAAAAGGAAAAAACTGTTTGAGGAGAGAAATCAGCAATAAATGGTACAATAAGGACATATTTAGAGTGGTGAAGACGTAGGAAAAAATAGTGCGGTGAAGATACTGGATAAAAAATAGATTACGGACTTAGACGTTGATAAACTGTACAAGTCTAAAATATTTACTACAAACTGAGAGATCTGGAAGAGAAAATTGTGAGACAAGTGAAGAGCTAGAGAAACGATAATTAAAATTGCGAGAAATAACACGCGGAGCAAGTTTGCTTATAGGGTCAAGAACAGAGAGAGAGAACACAAAGAGGAACATCATTGAGATACAACTGATTATAAACAAACAGAAAGAGACTAGTAGAAAAAGAAAGCCAAGAACATTTAGAAATATTTAGAGACATGAGATTTTGAAGGCGACTAGTTTGAGATAGAGTTTATACAGTTTTGAACATGAGAAAAATCAAAAGAATCAGAAGAAGAAAAAGGTACAATTAAGAAAACATCATCAGCAAAGCGACAGATTTCACAGTTAAATGGAAGAGACTCATTTATAAAAATGAGAAATAAAAGAAGTCCAAGTACAGAGGTGTCCCGATGAGTGACAAGCGGGGATGAGTCAAAATTTGGAAGTCAATTCCAAATTTTTTCAAAATCAGAGTGAATTTCTATTTTTTCCAGGAAAGAGAGGTAAAACGTAGCGTACATACATATAAGTCTAAGACAGATAGTAAAGTTAACTTTCTATATTTTTATTTCAAAGAGAACACAGAAAATATACCATAATCGCAGGCATTGCCAAGAAGTGAAAAGAAGAAAAGTCATTCTATTTGATCCATCCTTAGCTACAAAAACGAAAGAGAAAATATGTATAGAAACTGTTTTCTTTCAAACTGCGAGCAAACTCTCTCACATATTTCTTCTATTGCTGTTTACTCTGATCGGAAGTGAGCTCTCTCACATATTTATATTTAAAATTTGAGTAAACCACGGGTTAAATGAAAATGTTCGGAGCCCAGGTCGAACGATACGGTCCATATACGGACGGTCTGCTGGACGCAGGAATACGGACCGTAACATCATTAAAATAGGGCCGTATACGGCCGTATTTTCACAATATACGACCCGTAAACGGTACCGTTTCTGAGCACAGTAATACGGGGTCGTATACTGTGAAAATACGACCGTATACGACCCTATTTTAATGATGTTACGGTCCGTATTTCTGCGTCCAGTAGACGGTCCGTAACGGATATCCATTTTGGTCGACCTGGGAGTACGAGTTTCCCAATTGAGCAGTAAAACTTTCAAGAAGTAGGAGAGGGATTTCTCCTTCCCCTGCCCACAGATTGTGAAACCGTTACAAAACACTCAAATCAAATCGAACAGATTAACGACTGATTAACCAAACACTTTTACAACTGGTATTATCAGCTGTAAAATTATCTGTGCACGCTTTACAGTTCACTTCCTTCTGGCACCACTTCAACGGCCATTTAAGTGCGACAAAACTTATAATAATAATATCAGTAATAATTTATTCAGGAAAAATGGAAGTCATCAAAGGTTCTCGACCTATAATAACAATATATCTCGGCAAACAGAAAAATAATAAAAACTCTATGTAGATTAGTAGAAAACTAAAATGTGAAATAGTATTGATATTACAGTCAACTTGTGAACGCTGAGAATGTACTTCATTCTTTTCCGTTAGAAGAAATTTTGAACCGAGAATGTTCAACAGCACATACAAATCTGTTCGAGCTTTGTGCTCTTTATGTCTCCGAAAATCAGTTGTATTTTTATCAGCTCTATTTGATCATTGTACACTTATCCTTATAGACGTAAAATAGTCCTATCTCAAAAACAATTTATTTTATTTTAGATATTTTCTAATACGTAATTTTCATTCATTTATCGAACAATGTTATTAAAACCAACATTAAGCGAACATGAGTCTTCGCTCAATCGTTCCCGCACATTATCAGATTCTCAATTAGCTCCATCATCACTTTCTTCAACTTATTCTACCATCTCACATTCAACGACTCCATCGCCCTCATTCAGCACATCTTCACTCGCCTTGTATTCTCCAAAGCATAGTTTCTTTAAATATCCACGAAGTTCCAAAAAGCCTAAACAACAGCAAGTAGAAAATCGTTTCGTTATGACACTGATCAAGTCACCGTTGAGTTCACCGAATTTGGCTTCACAACGTCCGTATAATTCATGTAATGAGTTTGTTAATGTTTCGAGTGAAAATGAACCAAATGACAACGGTAATAGTCCTAACAGTGGTAACAATAACACACTTTTTAAATCGAAAGTAACAACGGCCTTGAATCAAATGAAATATCGATGGGTTGTACGATTGAGACCAAATTTTCGAAATAACGAATCGTCAATATATCTTCTAGGAAGAAAATATGATGGGAGAGAAGGTATGTTGAGTGCAGTGACCTTGAGTTCTTTTGTAAATCTCTTGCTCTCATTATAGACACAAGTTATGATGATTTATCCCGTTTATATTCCGAACAATCTTATAGTCATTTTTTATCTGATTTTCAAGAATGTATTTATCTGTCTTATCGGAAACAATTTGATCCACTAATTGGAGGCAATTCACTAACTTCAGACATCGGATGGGGCTGTATGATTAGATGTGCACAAATGTTACTAGCGCAAACATTGTTCGTTCACATGTCTAAACATACACAACTGTATGATAGAAGTAAATTGACGGTTTTTTCCCTTGTGCTTAATACAAAATCACGTTTTTGTTGCTCTTTTGTTTTTGTCACAGCGTCCAAAAGGGATTCTATCGAATATTTGAAAGCAAAAACAAATAAACGTTCTCAACTACATCACGATATCATTCGACTATTTGGCGATTATGTCTCACCAAAATGCCCATTTAGCATTCATTCGTAGGTATTTCATATATCTTTCATTATTTGAAGCATGTCGATAGCCAGAAATGAATAAATCATATGACCTTCGTTCGCCATGTTTTACCAATCATAAGAGCAATTGAAAGACGTGCATTCTCTTATTAATTTTAAGACTTCAATAACATTAATGCTTCTACTTTTCTTGATAATAGAATAGTTGAAATCGGTTATAAACAAGGAATTCGTCCAGGTGATTGGTTTGGTCCCGTTTCCGTATCACATGTCTTAAGGTAGAGTTAATTTTTTTTATTCAAGCTTAGACACGCCAAAGTTTACTATTTGTATTCCAGAGAAGCCGTTCAATTAGCTGTTGAATTGAAACAAATATCAGACAATCTTCGTGTATATGTTAGTCAAGATGCAATTAGTACGTATTCTACTCAATTTTTTATTATTAGTCATAATTGTTTGATCTTTTTTGTTTTATGTAGTTTATCGTCAAGATATCTTTGATTTATGTTGTGCACCATCATCTATAGAAAAAGCGAGAAATCTACTCTATCCAAACCATTGTTCCGAACCATCAGCTTCTAATACTACTACAGTTAGAGATAAATGGAATTTTTCATTGTTAATATTAGTTCCATTACGATTGGGTTTAAATGAATTAGGGTTAATCTATGAGCCGTATTTAAAAGAAGCGTTAAAACTACCACAAACTGTTGGAATTATAGGTGGTAGTCCAAAACATGCCGTTTATATCATTGGATTTCAAGGTAAATAAAACTCAGAAATAACAAAGTATTTAAACTGTTTTGTTTTCAGTCTAATAAAATGAAAATAGTAGAACACATGTTAGAATTCAATTGTTTTTTTTATTCTAGATGATAGTTTTATTAATCTAGATCCTCACTATGTTCAACCAACTGTGAACGTGACGGAAAATACATTCGATCTATCTGTATGTTTTATAACTATCGTAAATATCTCAATTTTTCTATCCTCATTTTAAGAGTTTTTCCTGTTCATCGCCAAAAAAATTGACTGCTAAAAAAATGGATCCTTCTTGTACTCTTGGATTCTATTGTCGGGATCGAAATGACTTTGATCAGTTTTGTTCTCAAGTATGACATATTATTTCTTTCTTTTATGTACTTATGAAACTGATTTGTCTCTATTTAGTGGATCCATCTAACTGATTCATCGTCATCAATTAATAGTAACTCACGATCTTGTCCAATATTTCGTATTATCGATGATACATTCAAAGATTGTAATTCATCGTTTAACATTGATTATCCTCAGGAAGAAGAAAATATTTTACGTGTGACAAAACTAAATCAACCATCAAAGAAAAATAGATATTTTCATTCAGTAGTTAATAATAGTGGACAGAGAAACAAGATTAAAAAATATCATACAGAATCTGATAGTCCTCACAATCGGTCACATTCATTGTCAGATGATTATGTATTTTTATAGCACGAAAAACAAAAATATTTAGTTGTCTCGTGTGATCAATTTAACTGGAGAGAAGAGAGATGAATCTGTGAGAAGAACATATCATTAGTATTTTTCATTGTTCTTAGTCCATGATTATTTTGAAAGAATCACTTTCTTCAAATTATAAATTATTGATCAGTTAGTTCATAGATCATTTTATCATCTCTAGTCAAAATTTGATTTTGTTATTTTTTCTTTTTGCTCTTATTTATTCTGTTGTATATTATTATTTATTCTTCACTAGAATAAGATAATTAAGAAAAGAAATCATTTAATTTTGCTTGTATTTGGTGCTTAAGTTGTAGCAGCAAAAGAGAAAAACAAACTATCTGTTTTTAGTGTATTACGTTTATTTATCTAACAGTGATATATTTTCCTATTGTAAATTTTTATTATATACGTATATTGTTAATAATAATTCTCTTTTCATGTTGCGATCATCATCTAAATCATCTAATTTTATTTTTTTGTTTATATATTTCTCTCTCATGGAATTAACCTTTTGAGGACTACATAAGGTGTCAGAAATTCAAAATTTGCACGCTTTTTATCTTTGTAAAATGTATACATGGTTAGATAGACCTTGACGAACTGAATCAGAATATGTAGATTTTATTCTTTGAAAAAATTCTTTTAAGGTCAAAAGTTTAAAAAAACTGAAATATTTTAAATAGTGAAAAAATAGCTTAAACACAAAATTTTGGTTTATTGCTTTTTCATAACTTTAAAAATGTTTTTTTCTTGTTCTGCATTAAAAACTGAATCTAAAAACCATACTTTTAAGATTATACGGATATTATATGATCATAAAAAATTTAAAGTTTTCACGAACGGTCAAAACTGCTCTCGCACACCTGGCAAAGTCTGCAAAACCAATGTCATATTTGGAATCAGTATCAAAAACTAAATTGACTGATGTGTGTGTTCCAGGTCACCTTAAAAGAATTTTTTCAAAGAATAAAACTGACATATTTTAATTCAGCTCGTCGAGCTCTATCTAACCATATATAAGTTTTACAAAAATAAAAAGCATGCAAATTTTGAATTTCCAACACCTTATGATATGCGGGTTTCTTTCCACAGTAAAAATTTGTTTTACAAACAGTCGTTTCTATAGTTTTTGAAACTGAATTTACTAACAGGCACTGAGCATTTATTTATGACACAAACAAACAAAGTATCCTGAATGTTTTCTTTCATCAAAACTCGTATCAAGACGCTGTATATCACGCTAATTTCTTTGTACAAAAATTTTATCTATGTATCAGATTTAAACGATACTAACGCTTCTTTTGCTTCGTCAACGAAAGAGGAGTTAGTACTCTTAAATATCCTTATTCTCTTGTCAAGAAATGTTGTTTTCTCTTGTAGTTAAAAAGAAATACATCGAGAAATTAATCCTATGATTTCTACTTTAATTGTATTCTGGTAAGCATAATAAATACTTATTTCTCTCAAGTTAGTGATGTTCGTATTCTATTTTAAGTACATTGTTGATGAATGCTGGTGCAGTTTTAAATTTTAAATTGTAAGTAATTGTAAATGAAGTAATAAACAAATACGTATTGACATATTTCAGTTTTTTTTAAGGAAAAGAAAAGATGTAGGATTTGTTGTTGAGAATCCATCAGTCGGTATGCTATTCTATTTGATTTAGAGTACTACGACGTAAAAATAGACACATGAATAGAGCTGTCTAAATTTTTTTTTCTGATCAAAAATAGCTGAGAACCAACCAAAATACGATAAAAAATTTCAAAACGTGTCTCGTTTTACCGCAAAGTACTCTTTACGCAAAAACTTGAAATTTGATCGTCTAATGTTTTTAGGTGATAAAATTCGTGAATTTCTCTATAGTCTCCAGTATTTTCGTATATTTATTGGACTTTGGAATATCATTATTATCGCACTTATGCTAACGTAAGTATGTTCATATCATTCTATGAACTAACATTAACAGAATGGAACATTTCTTCTTCTTTGTTGTACTATAGTACTAAATATGTTTTTATGACATCATTACATTGGTATGTTTGTTTCTTCTAGTGTTTTTGGTTATTGAACAATGACAATGCTTTATTTACGGGTGTATATTATTGTAAAATAAACACAATATTTGTGCTATTTGAATATCTTTTTATTCGTTAGTCCTTTTTTGTTCTGATAATAAATATTTGTTCTCGTTCCTGTATTTATATCATTATTCTCAATTGCCATTGTATTTTGTGGTATTTTTGTGAATAATTTTGGTATGCATAAATTTAAAAAAATTCTTTAGTAATATTACAATGTAGAATAAAATACTGGAATAATCGATACTTACAACTAGTGGTAAAAAAAATGTCAAGTAATAACAACTCTTAACTATTCAATATAAACGTCTATTACGACAAATGATGCACTTTCTTTAGAAACTGCGATAAAGGAAATTTCATATTTTGATGTTTATTAAATCATCTAAGATGTCGGAAATGCAAAAGTCGAGCAAAAAACACCGAAAATTTTTTCGATCAAATCATAAATAGTTCGATAGAGCTCGTCGAGCTGATACCAAATATGTATTTATTAAGTTTTTTCGATCAAGTTTTCGATGAGAAATCTTGAAAATACAAGTTACAGATTAAAAAATGAAAATTTGACCGCTTTCACTAAGCTCAAGATTTCGCCTGTTTGTGCCCGTTCTATTTTGTTGAAACTATTTTATTTGGGTTTAGCATTAAAAACTGAGTACGGTATGTAGATGCGAGACAATTTGATCGCAGTTCTCTCGCTCAGCAAACTAGAATAGGACCATCTAGACACACACTGACTCCCAGGTCTGGCAAACCCATCATCTTTTTTGTTTGAAGAGCTTTGTTGGATTTTCATATATCATTCGAATTGTCAGGCGGCGGGGAAAAAAGTTATGTATCAGTTTTGAAAAATATCGTTTTGTTGATGAGAAAATAAATTTTTTTGAAACAGGTAGCACAAAACAAGGAAATGCATTCGCATTTTGCAGTTTTCGCCATCAAACCTTTTTTTTTTTTTGCAAAACCAATATTATATTCAGAGCTGGGCAGGTCAAGTCGAAAACGCCTCCAGTCCAAGTCAAGTCAGACTTGGATTAGTCGAAAGATTTTTTGCGTGTGACTTGCCTTAACTGAAAAAATTTTCAAGTCAAGTAATTTCTAGTGGAAGAATTTCGTTTAAATTAGGCATCTTTTACCATGAAACTACAAAAACTGTCTCACACCCAAAAGGCGCTAGCAAATTTTATGTTCTGCCTACCTTTTAACTAGACTTGACTTGACTTGGGAGAAAAAATTTTCTCACCTCGACTTGATCTGACTTGAAAATTTTTTTAGCGATTTGACTTGTGACTTGCAAAACCTTTAACTTACTCAGCTCGGATTATATTTGGAATCAGTATCAAAAACTGAATCGACTGATGTGCATTTTTTATCAAGAATTTTAGTCAAAATGTTCTGAAAAAGTCATAGTTGTCCGTCCACTCTTCATCGAAAAACAGGAACTACTTAGTTTCGATAATAAACTTTTTATTTATGAAAGATGAATTTTGTATCAGAAAAATAATTTATTTTATTTTCGATCTGTTTATCGTAACGTCTCAATTGAGATACACTCACCTATTTTTATCAAGTATCTTAGTTGAGAAATCAATATTTCTGCGAAAATATTCGTTTCTTAACTGAGATACAATTTTGATACATGCATTGAATCGTGAAAAGTATAGTGTACTAAGATCTATTATTTAATAGTGAATTAGGTATATGATGTATCAGAAGTGGCATTTTCTTCTGCAACTGAGTTATGCGGCCATGGCAGAATAAAACTGAATATGTCCTACGGCATCGTATACAGATAACAATTCTTGTCTTTTCTATGAGAGAGAGTATACCTCTCTATATCGACTATCTGAGGAATTATTTCTACATTACATGTATTAAATATTATCAAGTAATCACATGTAAGCAAAAAAAGTAACAACAAAATCAGTTCTTATTCATTACCTTCGATGTCATCATCGGTGCTTATGTTTGAATCACGAGTTTCTTTTGAATAAAATCCTTTTTTTTTTAAATGTCCTATCACTATTTTACATGTATATAACTATTGAATAATAGACCTTAGTGTACTACACTTTTGCACAATTGCACGATTCAACGTATGTATCAAAATTGTATTTCAGTTGAGAAACCAATATTTTCGCAGAAATATTGATTTTTTCAACTGAGATACTTGATTAAACAATGGATTATACCTCCGCTGAGTCCAAACTCTATTTATACCTTCTTTGTTTGTTGTGATTTCAGCACAATATATATTTACATATTTTTCAAACTAAACAATTGTTTTCTTATCTTCACATATTATAAATTTTTGATAATAATAATAATTTTTATTTCAATTGATGACAAAAAGAAACATTTTATATCGATATTAATCTTATACAAAAAAACCTAAAAGAGTTAGTAAATATAATGAATAATAACCAATTTAGTGTTGATTTACCTATGCGTGTTCATTAGGACTTTTACAACAAAAAGAAAACGAGCTGATAGGACTAATTTGATGCATTCTATTGATAACATTAGCGTTATTGCGTTATTTGGTCAAAATAAGTACCATTGTTTATTTACTCAATGTTATTGGATTTTTTTTTTGTTTTTGATCATCAGACATATTGTACTATGTATGTTTGATTGTTTCTTTTTTTCTTCTTTTGTTTGGGCAGGAAGTACGTACCATACAATTCAGAAAATGAAATACTTGTAACTCGCTTAGGGTTTACTCTCTATCTCTCTTTTTCAGTTCAATATGATTCCTCAACATAAAAATATTTATGCTTCATCGTAATAGTTTTCACTCATAATTTCGTATGTCTTGATTAAGAAGAAGAGAAAAGTAATATGTATAAGCGCACAGCGTGTCTATTTTATTTATTTATTTATAGCTATTTGTTCTCTATAAGTGAT